TCAGGTTTTTCAAGGCAGTTACTATTTGGGCTAACAATCCCAAAAAACCTTCCAAAACTTTCTATTAAATACAGTAGTCTTTTAAAAAAGTGGTATAATTAATGTTTTGACCACCCTTCATCTGGCAAAGAAGGGATGCATCACAGCTGTGCTTTTCATTAATACCAAGGAATAAGGATGGAGCAGACCCTTCAGGTCCTGGCTTCCTGTTCTCTGCCAATTGTGTTAGTTTTCTGTGGCTTCAGTAACAAATTCCCATAAATGTGGTGGCTTAAATTTACAAACAGAAATTTATTATTGCACAGGCTAGAATTTATTATCTGGAGGCTAGATGTAGGGAGTTCAGGTGTTGCTATATATTTGTTATTTGTCTCTTTCAGCTTCTGGTGACTGTCAACATTCCTTGACTTGTGGCCATATCACCTCAATCTCTGTCTCTGTGGTCACATTGCCTTCTCCCCTTCAGTCTGTTTCGAATCTCCCCCTGCCTATCTTTTATAAGGACACTTTTCATTAGAATTAGAGCCCATTTTGATAATTCAGGATGATCATGTCATCTCAGCATCCTTAATTATATCTGCAGAGACCCTTTTCCAAGTAAGGCACATTCACAGGTTTCAGGGACTAGGATGTGGACATAGCTTTTGGGGGGCCACCATTTAACACCCTACACCACTAAAAAAGAGATACATGGACAGTACAGAATGGATGGGAGGCAGCAATATATAACATCCTTGACCTGGCCCTAGTCCGTACATGGATGTGCTATATGATTTTGGTGGAATCACCTTGGGAAGCCTAGAGAGAAGTCTGAGTGATTCTAGATTTCTGAGAATCAACTAAATGTACAGAAAATGTGACTTTTTATGCATTTGGGGATTTATTCTTCTACTTAACAAATATCTATTGAAGCATATTATGTGCCAAATGCTATTCTAAGTGTTTGGGATACATCAGTGAACAAGTAGCCTTTGTGGAATTTATATTCTAGCTTTGCTAGCAATGACTTGAGATGTTCATATAGGTGATTCAGGAATGCGGTGTTTGGCTGATGAATGCTTGTGTGAAAGAAATTATGCTCTTTGCTTTATCTCCAAGCAGTTAGGATTTTCAGCATAAAGTTGAAATTATATAATTTTGGGAGATTATATGAATTTTGAACTATATATCTTATATGTAGATTATTATCATTTTTCATCATCATCATCATCATCATCATCTTCATTATTATTGAATTATATAAATTTGGAGAAGCTAAAGGACAAAATAGTAGCATGTATGGAATGGGGATAATAATACAAAGATCATCATCTCCCAACACCTTTGTCAACATGATTTGTTGAAATCAAGGCAAATGTGAGCTGAAAAATCCAAACACGTGGGTGTTATGCTGCCCTAAGCCCAGCTTCTAGTGCGTTATCTGCCCTGGTACCTGGAGCTGAGTTTGGGGGGAAGAGAGTTGTTCTGGGGCAAAGGCAGGTAGTTTTAGCAGCATTCTGAGACACGAGCAAGGTCAGCTCTTAGAGCCAGCAGCACTTGGTGGTGGTGACAGTTGCAGGCTATTTTGGGAATGGAGGAGGCTTTGTTTTGTAAGGCTTTCTCTGCATGCACTCCCAGATTTAACTCTGGCACCGTTCAACCATCAGCCACTTTTGTCTTTGATATAGAGAAAGCAATATTAGATACAGTACAGAGATCATAGTGCTCTTTTATCATTTTATTGGTAAAATCAAGTCTTTTTCTTTGGCGATAGCTTGTCATTGTCAGGAAAATGTGACATGCTGATTTTAGGAAGCTTTAAATTATTATCTGGTAATTTTTCTAATATCTCTCTGGACCAGTAATTAAATAATATTCCATTTGTTAAAGAACTTGTTATTTTAGTAATATTCTATGTGTCCTCGGGACTGAAAAATTGAAGGAAATAGACATAAGCCACAGCAGAAGGAATTGGGTTAAATGCAAAGAATATTTATTCCCAAAGATGTCATGAGGAACATCAGAAACTTCTTTAGTATCCTTTGCCTGTTCAAGGAAAGGAAAGACTCATCTGTCTGGAAGATTCATTGTAGCTCTGCGTAGGGGCATCGTGTTGGAGCCCACGGCCCTGGGCAAGTTTTTATAGATGGGTGAATCTGCTTGTCTACCAGACTTCAGTGGTGAATGAGTCAGCAGCACAGCTGTAGATGGAGTGGGCAGAAGGGCATCTAAATTTAGTCGTTATTCACTCGAGAAGGTTTTCAGTGATTATTCGTCTCTCCTTCATGGCTTTAGTCATACTCCTTCTTCTGGAGACCAAAACAAAAAGAACAGAGAATGGTCACTCCAAGATATTTCATGAGAGTGAGTGCCCCACAACTCTGTTGATTGTCTCTGAGGTTGATTCTCTTTCAGCTTAACCATAGGTACATACTGTTTTATTCACAGTGCTCCTGAATTTAGGAACCTGTAGGATCCTGTACACTAGAAAGGGAATTTTTTGAAGTCAGACTTGATAAACAAACTCTAAAATCTTGATAGTTCAAAGATATTTTTAACCAAAGTGCATTCCCCCTGGAAGATACTGGAGGTGGGAAAGGGCAGTGATGGGTGAGGAGTTGGTACAGTTTGTCCTTTTTCCTCAAGAAGTTTCTATGTGTTAAACTGGTGGCTTAAAAACAACAACCATGCCACAAAAGCCTATGAGGTAGGGGGTATTCTCATGCTATAGATGAGTCCACTGATACTCAGGTCACATGCCTCACTCAAGCTTATCCGTATTGGCAGAGTTGGTATGCAACCCCAGGTTTGTCTGACTTCAAAGCTGGTGTTTTTAACAATATACTCTCCTTCACTTTGTGGAGGATATGGGGGATAATTTCACTCTTGACCTACTTTATTTTATTTGAGAGGTTTCTTTGGAGATTGGTGATCTGCCAAATTGCGTTGCAGATTAGGCCAGCTTTCTGTTGTCGTTGTCTTCTCAAACATCATCACAATGTCACTCTTCTAAAAATACTATTTCAAGAATTTCAGATTTATAGACGAAAATATCACAAAACTGAAAAAGAAAACTGAAGTGGTGATAGAGTGAAGGAGATTAAGGAAGGGAAGCAAGAGAAATAAGAGGGAAGGAAAGAGACGTTTCTCCTGTTTCATACCTGGACTCACTGCTCTTATTTTAGGCCCTCTGGGATTTGGTTGCCGTCATCGTCAAAGAGCTAAGAATGATCTTGAAAACATTGGCTTCCAAAAGTCTGCCTGGCGGTGGTGTGGCCATCGGAGCTAAGTTTTTATACTGTTGAGCCAAAGAAGTGTTGCAACCAAGCAGGAGGCAGTTGACCCAGCTGTTTTAACGCAGGTTAAGATGGCACATTTGACCTTCGTGATACAGGCATTTGTTATTACATGGGCAAAGCACTTTCTTCTCCTTGGACACTTGTACCTTTCTCAAAAATACCCTTTTCCATCCTTTCCCTTAAAAGTCTTTGTTAACAGATTTTAGCAAGGTACTCTCCAACGAGCTGGGCAAATCTTATCCTGTGGGGATTGCAGACTGGCAGACATGCAATATATGAGAAAAATTTGGTGATAATAATAATGAAGTATTCTACATGGTAAAAAAGTAAAAAGTAAATTAGGAATACTTGTAGAAGTTGATAAACCTGAGAGAACATCACAGAAGAAATGTAACTTTTAGAGCTACTTGTTGAAAAGGAGACCATTATGAATTTTGGCTATAAAAGTCATCTGGCTTCCAAAGGTCAGGTTAGAGGAATATATTATATTGCATCAAATCAAATCTAGGCTGATCTGTTAGCCAATCTTAGTAACTGTAAAAAGAGTATCAAATGGGAAAAATGAACAAAGATGCTTTTTGTAACTAGGATTACCTAATTAAATTTTCATCCAAAGTGAATCAACCTTTGTTCATCCACGCCCCTGCTTCCAGGCATAATGACATGAGGTTTATCTCTAGAGGGAGTTCCCATGAGTTTTCTTGGTAAGATGTGTACTACTTAAGTCCCATATTTATATTTGGAAAAGGGAGTAGTATTTTAATAGCCTGTACAGACAGTTGTGGATAGTCTTCTTGGATATTATACTAAAACTCCCAACAAGTAGTAGTTTCTTAAATATTAGCTGCGCTGCAGAATCTGAGACTCTGTCAATGGATTTTTCTTACTTTGTGGCATTAAAAAAGGAGTCTCATTTGTTTCTAGGTTCTGAATTATTCCAACTGTTTGGGAACGATCAAAACCCTGATAATGATGAGCTTTATTAATGTGGGCATTTTCCTCCTTTTTATTATGTACATATATTAAGACAGCCTTTGGGTCTACAGATCTCATTGCTATTTGTGGCTGTTTCTTTTAGGCTATGGTAGGCCTGAAGTTTCTATTCAAAGAGCTCCTCTGCTTTCTCCTAATTGTGAGATGAGCAGCTAAGGATCCCTGTAACCATCCATCACTACAAACATACTCTGCCATGTTGGTTGGAGCCATTCAGAAAATACATGAAAAGAAAATACATTTGTTTGAAGTGATCACCTCTTCCTTTCTCACCAAAACAGGGATTGTTTGGCAACCCTAGAATCTTAAACTATAGCTTCCCACTGAGAAAATTGCATTTGATTCTGTATGACTATTTTCTTTTAAAATTCATAAGCCAATTAGCAATTTCTAACATGTTCTCTTTTTTATAGTATGATGATAAACAGCTCACACATTTGAAGTACTTTAGAAATCACTTTCACAATCAATCCTAACAGTACTGTAAATAAGATTAAGTATCAGTATACCTATTTCACAGCTGAGATATTGAAGCATGAAGACAATTCAGGGGTTCGCATAAGATTACAAAGCCTCGAGGTCATCCTCTGGACACTCATAGCAGTATGCAAGAAATAGAAATTAATATATCATTACAACTAAAGTACTGTCAATGCCCAGAGCAGTGTCTGGCACATAGTAGAACTCAATAAGTACTTGTCGAGTGAATGAATGGACTTTTCTTTTCAGGCCTGTATTGATGAAAATTTGGACATGGTGAAGTTTCTGGTGGAGAACAGAGCCAATGTAAACCAGCAGGACAACGAAGGCTGGACACCCCTTCATGCAGCAGCCTCCTGTGGCTATCTCAACATAGCAGAGTGAGTCTCTGTGTGGGTTTGGACTCTTTGTAGGAGTAGCCTTCATTTCTCTTCTTCTCTTAAAACTTTGAATTCATAAATAGTTGTAATTTCTATTACAAATTATCAAAGCAGGAAGTTGAATTATTTTTAAGGAATATTGATACTATTTTTTTTTTATATATATATATAGCTGCTAAAATCCACAGATTTTAGTTGAAATTTTTTGTGTGCTTCTACTTTCAGGAAACTCCTATTTATTGGACTGTTTAAAGGTGACTTCTGCCTGTTGCGCTAGCTGGGTCGCTTTTCTAGCAACTATAACATATGCGGGCAGGCCTCGAAATTGTTCCTGGACTTCCTTGTAAACTTGTTTTATCGTTTAAGAAAAAACAATCAGTGGGGTGCCTGGGTGGCTCAGTTGGTTAAGCATCCGATTCTTGATTTTGGTTTCAGGTCATGAGCCCACAGTTCGTGAGTTCGAGCCCTGCATCGAGCTGTGCTGACAGTGCAAAGCCTACTTGGGACTCTCTGTCTCTTGTCTTCTCTCTCTGCCCCTCCACTATGCGCTCTCTCTCTCTCAAAAATAAATAAGTAAACATTAAAAAGAAGAAGAAAAAAATCCATGTTCAGTACAAATAAAGGTGGAGAATACCTGACATGCTGATCACAATACCTATGTGGTTAATAGCAAAAGAATGAGACTAAATCTGGAACAAAGGAAGGGTGGGGACTGACATGTGTTTGTTCTCCACGTTAGTTGAATGGTATGTTTATTAAGACACACAAGTGGCTCCTGACCTCCCTGACAACTAGTTGTTCCAGTCTTGGACAGAAGAATCCTGACCACATAGTATCTAGGATATAAGAGGTACTAAATAAGTGTTGAATGAAGGAATGAAGTTTATGTTTATTTTTATTTTATCTATATGTTTATATATTTTAAAGTAATGTCTATGCCCAACGTGGGGCTCGAAGTCATGACCCAGAGATCAAGAGTTGCATGCTTCACTGACTGAGCCAGCCAGCCACCCAAGGTTATTTTCAAATAGGAAAGAGACTTCAGCAGTTGAAATATCTTTAAAAAAAAAACTTTGTTTTAACATTTATTCATTTTTCTATAATTAAAAACATTTTTTTAAATGTTTATTTTTGAGAAAGAGAGAGAGCAAGTGAGCGGGAGAGGGACAGAAAGAGAGGGAGTCACAGAATTTGAAACAGGCTCCAGGCTCCAAGCTGTCAGCACGGTGCCCGACGCGGGGCTCGAATTCACGAACCATGAGATCATGACCTGAGCTGAAGTTGGACGCTCAACCGACTGAGCAACCCAGGCGCCCCTCATTTATTCATTTTCTGAGAGAGATAGAAAGAGAGAAAGCATGAGCAGGGGAGGGGCAGAGAAAGAGGAGACAGAGAGAAAAGCAGCCTCCAGGCTCCAGCTGTCAGCACAGAGTCCGATGCGGGACTCAAACTCATGAACCACAAGACCATGGTCTGAGCCAGAGTTGGCCGGTTAACCAACTTAGCCACCCAGGTGCCCCTGAAACATCTTTAAAATGAGGCAATTGAGTATATTCTACAGATGAGAGTAAATTTAGGTTGGTAACATAAATTCACTAAATAAAATGATATTCTGTGATCCTTTGAAAAATCGGATGCTTGTTTTCAGACTCTTTTACATATAATTAGAACTCTATTGTATTTCTCTTATTCAGTAAACAGCAGGGAGAATTATGTTGGCAGCTATGTAGAGGCCTGGGAATGGCTTCCCGCAGAATCTGATTTACCCAGGTTTCCTGGGGGAGAGCCTGTGTCTCTGTTTTGCTTTCAAGCCAGGGATGCTCAGTGGGAGAAGTTAAACAAAGGGGGACACAGAGCCAGAGAAACACTAGGCAGCCCCGCTGGTGTTTGACTGGGCTGCTTGTTCTAAAAAGTGGACAACGGGATTGGCCCCAAAGCCAACAGAAGCAAACAATGCAGTTTTCTTCAGCCTCAGTTCTCTACTCTGTTCTAATTTAGTAAAAGTCAGCCACCTCTTCATCCCTTAGGCTGTCCTCTTTTCAGGGTCTCCTAGAAAAGGCTCTGATTCTCAGCCTTACCCACTAATGCCAACAATCTGATGTCTAAGAGTTAAGGTGGCTTCCTCATAAATTTCAATTTTTACTTTAAAAATTTGTCTAAGAAACAGTCATAGAACATGTTAGCACCTCATTTTTTATATTTCATTATTTGTTAAGGTGGCTTGTTTGTGATTTTTGAGTTACCAAATCTCATTACATTCAAGAATTTAACTTTTTTTTTCCATTGGAAGGTAACAAGCAGAGCTCATGCTTAGAATTAGGATCACTTGTGTTGGCATTATCCATGGAGTCTCTTTCTTTTTTCTCCTTTTGTGAAGCTGAGTACAGAGAATGTTTGTAAGTGCTTTTTTACAGTGGTTTCTTTAATTCGTCTTTCTGGATGAACACAACTCCTTTGGAAATAAGTTCAAAATTCAACAGACTCCTGCCCAAATAAATATTACCTTGAGTGAAAGGAATCGGTGAGAGTTACTATTTCCTCATACAAATTATTACCCATTAGTAAAATGAAAGTATGACTGGGAGGGAGATGATCTAGACTAGAATCTATTGCGTGGGTGGAGTGGTAGGGATGGCTTTCTTTAATTTATCTTTCATTATGCATATCATTATGAGAAAAGTTTTGACCTTGTCATTATTTATTTATTTGCAATATGTAGCGTTATTTTCTGTGCAATGGAAAAAACCTCACTGCTTATATTACTCATTTTGGTTACTTTACCTTTGGGCCTATGAACAATGTTTTAGATAAGATTAGCCCTTGGTCACTTTGTCTTTTTTTTTTTTTTATCTTAAAGCTCTTAAATTTTATACTCTTATTCTCAGAATCATAGGAATTCTAAATTTTGAGGGAGTAGAAACAAACAAAAGGCAGACTAGCTTTCTAGGAAGAATCCATGTGTATTCGATTTCATGTTCCATTATCTTTTTGTCTCATATTTGAAGTTGGTATAATATATTTTTAAAGAGAGGTTTGGAGGCTATTATTTTTCTCATTTTAATTTTGAGTTAAGTCTTATTGCTAGTTAGCTGGATGTTTTATGTTTTTATTACCAGTAAGTGTTTAACTTAGATGCAGCAGATTGACCCAAGGGTACAGCATTTAGTTTGGCTTTATAGTTTATTGGGATGCTAATTTATTCTGAGTTTTTAAATACATTACATTTTCTTTCTTTCTCCTTTAGATATTAGTAAAAATACTTTATATCAGTGATGAGTTAACGGAGAATAGGGAGGCTTTATTTTCTAAAGGGCATATTTATTTTGCTAGTGGGTAGTTCTGAACCTCTTGGTAACTATAAAGATTCTTGGGGGTAAAGAAAGTATTACTTTATAGATTGATACTTATTCAGGTGAAAGGTGAAATTCTGAATTCAGGTGAAACTAAATAGGTTTTTACTTTTCCCTAAAAATGGTCTAGGAAGGTAGCTTTGCTTAACAATAATCTCTGAGTTATGGTGAGCCAGATTGCTTTCTAGAAATGAGTCTTTTGATCATTGGGATAAGAACATGTCGGAAGAGGGAAAAACGGAGAGGCCTGTATACCCAAGTGACATCGTGCCTGGTCCAATAAGATTAAGAGAGGGAATAGATGTCAGAGTAGAGTAGTTAAGATGTTTCATTTATTTCAGGTAATATTTATGGAGTGCCAAGAGAAGAGAGACAATGTCATGATGTCCTGGCAATAACAGTGAGGAAGACACAGTTCTTGCCCTCCAGTAACTTTCAGCCTGATTGGGCAGTTGTATCAATAGTGTCATGGCAGAGGTCCAGAATTAGAGCTGGGGAGGTCTCAGGGGAGAGCATGGACTTACAGGAAGGAGACAGAAAATTCAGTTGTTGAGCACAGGCAAAGGCTACATGAAGGCAAAAGCATTTTATTTTATTTTATTATTTTTTTTTTTACAAATAGTTTATTGTCAAATTAGTTTCCACATAACACTCAGTGCTCATCCCCACAAGTGTCCTCCTCCATGCCCATCCCCCCTCCCCCCCACATCCATCAGTCCTCAGTTTTTGTCAGCATTCAAGAGTCTCTCATGGTTTGCCTCTCTCCCTTTCCCCCACCATTTCTGCCCTTCTTCTCCTCCTTGTTCCTCCGTCAAGTTCCTCCTAATCCTCCTATACGTGCAAACATATGATATTTGTCCTTCTCTGCCTGACTTATTTCGCTCAGCATAACACCCTCAAGGTCCATCCATGTTGCTACACATGGCCAGATTTCATTGTTT